GATAATACAAACAAGTTAAATTTGTATTACAAGACTTCTGTGTCGAATTGCCGGGATTTTAAGGGTTCCATTTTTGGTTTCTCATTTGTCAAATTCGCAAACATTAAATCCAAAAGTATCCCAGAACATACAGCACTTGGAGCGTGAATTAAATTCTTTTACATTGATTGTATTGTTTAAATAAATTATATATTGTACTGTTATTAAAGTTAGATGTTGTTATGTTAACTTTTTGATCATTACATAGATGTAATTGGGGAAGTTATTGCTTGTGAGACAATAGTGACTCTTCTAGATAACAATCTGGAATCAGAAGAGAAGTTGTGTGATAGAAAGCTTGGGAAAGGAGTTGATAGGAAGCGGCTTTTCTGAAGTTGGTCTGATGACGATCAGGAAGAAAAAGGATCGGCTATAGAAACATTAATCCTAAAGTTGAAAAGTAATATTCTTGCTTTTGATGAACAATTACATTGAAACTCGTATTTGGTTTTGGGTTGGTGGTTGAATTTTAGTTTGGACAATGATTTTTACATTGGTACTTATGTTATGATACACGTTTTCGTTATTATTTGTGTGGGATTTGATATTAAACTCATTTGCATTAAATAGTTTTGTAATGTTTGATTTTCTTGTTCATGAAAATTATATCTGCCTGTAAGTATTTAACTATTTTTGGATGAAGAGGTTATGAGTAGTTGAATAACAGGTTGTACATGATCAGATGGACTATACTCTGATATCCTTGTAGGCCTTCATTGATTTATTACATGGCCTCAGTATACTCCATGCAGATATTGAGACCCGCTATACAGAGCTCTGAATTATGCAGGGTTGTTCTTCACACTACTTTGAAGACTAGAGGCCTTTTATGCAGAGTCGCAAATCTGTAGGAACCTTACCTATACAGAGGTTTCGTGTTGAACATGTAGAGCCTCTATACAGGTCTGCAATGAGTATGGAAGCAACTTCAGGTGCGCTACTTGGTACATACAGATGGTCTACGTAGTTCTGTATGAAGCACGTAGTCAGGATCAGAGGTTCTGCGTAGCACGAGGAGATACAGAGCTCTTACTTAAGAGCTAAGTGTATTATGTACAAAGGCGTCTTCTATGTCAATTATCATAGAGATCATCTTACATGAAGCAGAGATACCACCCCTTGAGCAAGAGAAGGAGCCAGAAGTATTCTAAGTTCAATCCGTAATCTGTTGGAGTTTCGAGAACTTCTTAGGATGTTCATCAAGCTTGAAAACATCTAGACCTTCTTGTCTTACATTTATTTTTTTAACTTTGAAGCATTGTACTTTCGTTTCAATCGTACTGTACTTTCTGAATAGTTAATGTAAAACAGAGGTTATTTTTAACCTCTGCCTTCAATTAGACTTATGTTTTTAATTCCCGTAATAACCTGCCTTCTTTTTAACCTCTGTTGCAGTATCGAGAACTTCTTATGTTTTCCTTCTTTTTCCTAATTTAGGAAAAAGGATCGGTTATAAAAATGTTACAAATCCCTCAACTTCAGAAGTAATATTCGTGGTAATGGTGTACAACTACATTGTCGTTCGTTATTCGTATAGTTTTTGTCATTGGATTTTGGTTCGTACAATAATATGTTAATTGGTCAATGTAGTATGCTACACGCTTTCATTATTATTTGTTTTGGATTTAATATTAAACTTATTTGCATGACCAACACAAAGGCTCTACACTTAAGTGTTGAGAAAGAGCTATGTCTCTTCATGTGCTACGTTGACCCTACCCTTCTTCATATAGGGAGTACATATTTTGTTTTAAATTTGAATTCTGAAGTCGAAAGGTTTGTTTATAGAGTGACACATGGATGTGTAGAGTAATTATTGGACGCATTACGCATGTCAATTTAAAACCGTCGTATTTTAAGAAAATATTTAATTACCAATACGATGTAAGTTAATGGTTGGTTGTATCATATGCGAACACATGGTTGACTACCGTCTTAGATGCATTTTAGTGGAAGGAATGTGTTGTAAGTCTTGAACGTTAAGAGTTACTGACTAACGCTGAATTTCATTTCAGAATAATAGGTCTGAATGCACCCAAATGTTGAACTCTGACCCTTGCATATTCAGACTTAGTACGTCTGAACAACAAAGACCCGGTAGGATAACAAATTTCCCCCCAACCGATACTTCCATATCTGTATAGACCTTATACACTATCTTTTGTTATGTGATAGTCAATATTTGTAAATTAACCCTTGTGAAAGCCATGAAGTTGTTAAACTCCAAATCAAAATGTTCAACTCCGGAATGTACATAATGAATTTCTTGCTCCTGCACTTATACCCACCATCTTACATCTGGAACCAACTTCATATTTAGAAATCTGTATTCACAACAGACGGAATGGGAAGACTTCCTCAGCCTACAAATTTGCACGTACAAAGAATTGTTCCAGATTTGCAATCGTTATTAAAAAGTCTGGGTTGGGTTAAAACTTTTTCTTCAGATTAGACCTCAATATCTGTATAAATCTTATCAAGTACCCTTCGTCATGTGAAAATCAATATTTGAATATTAGTCCTTAAGAAAGTCACTAATTTTGTTAAAGTCCATATTAAAATGTTCGTGACCTATTACATACATAGTTACTTGCGAACGTCTGAATTTACAACTGAGGCCATAAATTTGGTACACCATGTTATTACTTGAACGTGGATAGACTACACAACTGAAGCCGTAAATTTGGTAAACCACGTTCATACTTGAACGTGGACAGACTACACAACTTCAGAATTTTCATAAACTCATAGACTCAAAATTTCAGTTATCGTCGGTTATAATCCCCAAAAAATCTGGAAATTTTAATCGTGGGATGTTGGTTTGAATTGATATTCAATTTCCGAACTCCTCACTACTCAAATTGGCAACTTTTCTCAAAGTCAAACAAGAACAATCAAAACCAATTGTTTTTCTTCTGTAAGGTATGATAGCTTCTTTTGATTAACTTACTTCAAAATTTTAATTAATTAATACATGGTTTTCCTTCTAGAGATTAATGGCTGGGAACAATATTACATTCATTGAAGATCTTGACATATAGAAGGATTATTTCACTGTCAAGGTTCGAATTGTTAGATTGTGGAAGCAACCRGTGTTTAAAAACCCGGATGAAATATATTCCATTGAAATGATATTAATAGATGAACATGTAAATTCTTATAKCTTTTTGAAGCTTTAGTATTGAAAGCATGATATTKAATTATTTTCTAAACRGTCTAAGATCTTCACATCATCACTACTMATTGATTTTTCATTTTTATGTTCTTAGGGGACCAAAATACAAGCAAATGTCYTGCAAAAATGGGTTCCTAAGTTCARGAACTTACTTCAGGATGGGGCTGCMGTTTTCATTAAGAAAGTTTACAATTGCTCGATATGCAACGAAGTACAAGTTAATTGATAATACAAACAAGTTAAATTTGTATTACAAGACTTCTGTGTCGAATTGCCGGGATTTTAAGGGTTCCATTTTTGGTTTCTCATTTGTCAAATTNGATAATACAAACAAGTTAAATTTGTATTACAAGACTTCTGTGTCGAATTGCCGGGATTTTAAGGGTTCCATTTTTGGTTTCTCATTTGTCAAATTTGCAAACATTAAATCCAAAAGTATCCTAGAACATACAGCAGTTGGAGCGTGAATTAAATTCTTTTACATTGATTGTATTGTTTAAAGAAATTATATATTGTACTGCTATTGAAGTTAGATGTTGTTATGTTAACTTTTTGATCATTACATAGATATAATTGGGGAATTTATTGCTTGTGAGACAATGGTGACTCTTCCAGATAACAATGGAAAAGCCAAAAAGAAGAATGCAGCTTGAGATGCAGGATTTGGAGTAAGTATTTCACTTTAATTTACTAGCAGTGATCTTCATAAACTCTATAATTCTTTTCTTACAATTTATTTAGGGGGATTAAAATTCAAGTTACATTGTGGGATGCCTTCGTTGAGGAATTGAATGATTATGTTTGTACAAACAAGGACAAGGGGATTGTTGTTCTTGTTATTCAATTCGCAATGGTCAAAATTTACAGAGGTTTGTCTTATTCATAACATGTATAGTTCTTTCCAGCAACCTTGTGTTAACTTGCTTCATTTGATTGTTTCAGAAAGACCATTTCTTTCTAACTAATTCAATGGTACGAGGCTGTTCATCAATTCGGACATTGATGAAATTAAAGATTTTAAGAAAAGGTCAGCAATTTTTATTTATTATTTATTTATGTCATATTTCTGTTATATATCTTATATTTCCCTAATATACATTGTTGTGTGTTAATACTCCGATTCAATTGTTTGATTCGGAAAAGTGGCGAATCTAAATCGTCACAACAGATTTCAATGGTCTCTGGAATGTCTTATTCATATCGTGAAGATTTCCTAGACAGAACCAGTAGAGCAAACATTGTTGAAATCAGTGAGACTATTGAGGTATTGATTCTTTTAAATTGTGTCTTTACATTGAGTAAATGGATTTTAGTGTAATATAGCGTACTTCATACAGGCGAAATCACTAATTGTATTAGGAACGGTGAAAGCATTTAGGAAGGATGTCCCTTGGTTTTACATGGGTTGCATGAGGTGTAACCGCAAGGTTCGACCCACGTACATTATTATTGACAAGGATGATGGATCTGGTATGAAAGAAGAGAGGGAAAATTTTGATTGTACGACTAATAGATGCAGAGGTAAACAAACAGAAGTGTTGCCAAAGTAAGTAACAATTACATAACAGTGCTTTTCATTAACTTCTGCACACTCACATTAATACTCACTTAATAATCATATAGGTTCAGAATTTCTTTGAGAGTTCAAGATGATACTGGAATTGTAACATTGACATTATTTAATCGAGAAGCTAATAAAGTTTTGAATCAAACGACAACAGAGTTGTATGAAAAAGTTAAAGAGGTATGATTAGAGGTCTTATCCTTTTTCATAAGTTACTTTTTAGGACTCCAAAAGCCTGTTAATGTAAAAATTGTTTGTTTTCTTTGTTAGAGTGGTGATTTAGACATGTTTCCGGATGAGTTGGATGTTTTGCTTGATCGGAGGTTTGCAATAAAGATTGACATAACTGATTACAATATTAAGAACAACTGTTTCATTTATGGCATTTCAAGGTTAACAGATGATGATGCCATTTTGAGTGAATTGGAGATGGGATGCGCTTCTCAACAAGTGCTGATTTCAGTTTGCAAAAAATATTATCCAATTTAATCTAAAATCTTTGTTACTCTAACATTATTTTAGTATTTACTGTGCAGCCTGCTGAATCAGAATCAGTAAATCTGCATTCAACAAATTTCAGTTCCCAAGATAAGTTAAAGGTACTATAAGTGGCATCTTCAATGTAATTTGTAAAGACAACTACAAGCAACTAATTCTTCAAATGCCACAACTAATTATTGTTTTATTTGAAGGATGTTGTTTCATATACTGGTGAGAATGCAACACCATCCGATGTAGATAAGAGCACTGCAGACAGTCCAGAATCAAAAGAAAAGTTGTGTGAGAGAAGGCTTGGCAAAAGAGTTGAAAGGAAACGGCTTTTTGAAAGTTCGTCTGATGCCGATCAGGAAGGAAAATGATCGGCTATAAAAACATTAAAGATCCCTAAGGTTGAGAAGTAATATTCTTCTTTTTGATGAACAATTACATTGCAACTCCCATTTGGTATTGTGTTGGTGGTTGAATTTTTTCTTGGACAATGATTTTTGCATTGGTGTTGATGTTATGATACACGTTCTCATTATTATTTGTGTTGGATTTGATATTAAACTGATTTGCAGTACATACTTTTCTAATGTTTGATTTTCATGTTCATGAAAATTATATATGCTTGTAAGTATTTAACTATTTTTGGACGAGGAGGTTCTGGGCAGATGACAAACAGCTCTGCAATGAGTATGGAAGCAACTTCAAGTGCGCTGCATGGTACATGCAGATCGTCTGCGTAGTTCTGTATGAAGCAGGGAATCAGGATCAGAGGTTCTGCATAGCACGAGGACAGACAGAGCTCTTACTTAAGAGGTAAGTGTATTATGTACAAAGGCCGTCTTCTATGTGAATTATCGTAGAGACCATCTTACATGAAGCAGAGATACCACCTCTGAAGCAAGAGAAGCAGGCATAATTATTCTAAGGTCAATCCATGATCTGTTGGAGTTTCGAGAACAACTTAGGAGGTTCATCAGGCTTGAAAACATCTAGACCTTCTTGTCTTAGCATTTTTTTTAGCTTTCAAGCATTGTACTTTAATTTCAATCGTATTGTACTTTTTGAATAGTTAATGTAAAACAGAGGTTATTTTTAACCTCTGCCTTCAATTAGACTTATGTTTTTAATTCAAGTAAGAATTTTCTTTCTTTTTAACTTCTGTTGGAGTATCGAGAACTTCTTATGTTTTTCCTCCTTTTTCCTAATTTAACAAAAAGGATCGGCTACAAAACCTTAAAAATCCCTCCACTTTAGAAGTAATATTCATGGTTCGGGTGTACAAGTACATTGTCTCTCATATTTGGTATTGTTTTGGTGATTGGATTTTGGTTTGTACAATGACCTGTTAATTGGTGAATGTAACTTCCTATACGCTTTCATTATTTTTTGTTTTGGATTTAATGTTAAACTTATTTGCATGAGTAACACATAGGCTCTGCACTTAAGTGTTGAGAAAGACCTTTATCTCTTCATGTGCTACGTTGAGGCTGCCTTTCTTCATACAGACCATAACAGAGGTTCTGCACGTGCTATGTTGTCAATCTAACCATGGCTCCTTACTTCATACAGAGCTTCACAGAGGCTCTGCACTTAAGTGTTCAGAAAGAGCTCTGTCTCTCATGCCCTACGTTGAGGCTCGACCACTTACTCTAAAAGTGGACTTCGAACTTGTAACTTTGGACCATCTGAGTCTTAATTCTGGGAAATTTATTCACCCTTGTGTTTATCAAGCCTGACTTCGTTCTTCATACAGACCTTAACAGAGGTTTTGCTTGTGCTAGGGCGTCACTCTAACCCTGCTTCTCTGATTCAGACAAAGCTAGACAGAGGCTCTGCACGTAAGTGTTGAGAAAGAGCTCTCTCTCTCTCTCTCTCTCTCTCTCTCTTCATGCCCTACATTGTGGCCCCGCTGCTTAATCTGAATGTGGACTTCAGAATTGTAACTCTGTATGGTTCAAGTCTTAACTCTGGAAATTTCTTGACCCTTGTATCTGTCAAGCCTCACTCCATTCTTCATACAGACCTTCACAGAGGTTCTGCAACTGGTACACGGTCAATCTGAGCCAGGCTCTGTGGTTCATACAGAGCTCCACAGAGGCTCTGCACTTAAGTGTAGAGAAAGAGCTTTGTCTCTTCATGTTGTACGTTGAGGCTTCCCTTCTTCATACAGACCTTCACAGAGGTCCTGCACGTGATACACGGTCACTCTAATCCTGCCTCCGTGCTTCATACAGAGCTACACAGAGGCTCTGCACTTAAATGTTGACAAAGAGCTCTATGTCTTCATGTCCTACCTTCAGGCGTCAGGTCATACTCTGGAAGTGTACGTCAGACTTGCAACTCTACACCGTACCTGGTTTATACTATGGGAAGTTTGTTCACCCTTGAGGCTGTCAACCCTGACTTTGTTCTTCATATAGACCTTGACAGAGGGCCTGCATGTGCTATGCCGTCAATCTAGCTCTGTCACCGTGCTTCATACAGAGCCATACAGAGGCTCTGCACTTAAGTGTTGAGAAAGTGGTATGTCTCTTCAGGTGCTACGTTGATGTTTCCCTTCTTCATGAAGACCTTCATAGAAGTTCTGCACATGCTATGCCGTCACTCTAACACTGCCTTCGTGCTTCATACAGAGCTACACAGAGGCTCTACACTTAAGTGTTGAGAAAGAGCTCCATCTGTTCATGTTCTACGTTGAAATTCCCCTTCTTGATACAGACCACGATAGAGGTTCTGCACGTGCTACGCCGTCACTGTAACACTACCTCCGTGCTTCATACAGAGCTACACAGAGGCTCTGCACTTAAGATTTGAAAAAGAGCTCTGTCTCTTCATGTCCTACCTTGAGTCTCCGCCTCTGACTCTGAAAGTGTACTTTAACCTTGTAGGTCTCTACCGTTTTGGGCTTAAATTGCGGAAAGTTTTTTAACCCTTGTATCTGTCAAGCGTGACTCTATTCATCAAACAAACATTCACATAAGTTCTGCACGTGCTATGCCGTCACGTATTTCGGTGATTACAAAAACTTCTAAATAAATACTTATTTCGCAAAGATAGGTCTGATATCCTATTCCATAGTTAAAATAGATGGTTTACTTCAGAGTCATTTCAACAGTACGCTTCTTGTATTAAACCTATGAACCCGTCAAAATTAAATGTAAGAGTTGGAAGCTAACTGTGACTGGTTTGCTTACAGACTTATACAATAACTTTCATACGTGGTTTGATAGACATACAATATGCATTAATGTTTAAACCATGTAATATGGCTCCAAAATAGTACTAAACAGACTTCAGATTTTGGATTTAAATTGTGAATTGTAATTCTTGAGTATCAATGTGCAGAGTTCCCTGAAACCAGTTCTAAAATGTTACTTTCAACATGTCTCAATTTGAAATATCATTCAAATGTTACTAATTGATGTCCGTATGTCCATTCATATATAACTGCATTTTTTTTCATTGTAAATGTTTTCTCAAATTTATTTCACATAGATATTAGAGAACTGAAGGAAATTCACCTTCCATGAATTGTTTATCACTCACTAGCCTTGGCAGATTGTTGACATGTTTCTTTCAATAAAAACCCACGGCTTTAAATTTTCCAGAGTTATATTGTGTAGTAATTTGTTAGCCTTAAAATGAAACTCCAATATCTTTTCTCCAACTTAGAACTCTGTTATGACAATGGTTTTCATAGTTTTCCGGGTTTATAAATATGTTAAGGTAGAAATTTGAAATATGCAACATGCTTTTCCAATAGCCTATTACTCTTGGTCTTCTACACTTAATAGTTAAAAGTCTGAATTCCATACTTGAACATTAAACTGCATCCTTTGCATAACATGGTGAAGACATAAGTTGTTTTAGGTGATAATGTTATAACTTAATTTAAATATATAATTTATATTACATTTAGGTTTTCCTCATAAGTGAAGTATGTTATTTGAACATGTATATAATACAATCACTAATTGCAAGTGGAGACAAGATTCACCAAAATACTGTTTCTACGCAAAAGCCTATGAAGAATTGAATGCTGCGAGGTTTTGAACATATATATTACTCTTTTAAATTTTTATGCATAAAGACAAAGTCATTTGTAAAATCTATTCCAAAATAAAAAATGAATATATTTAAAGCCATATTAACAAATTATATAGCCCTTTCCTTCGCTTTCTAAAATCCTCTGAAATCAAAGCTACTAAAAAGTATACTAAAAAGGAAATTTGTACATAGTGAAAATATGAATGACATATACACATTAAACATTGTATCTACACATACTAATTCTTCCAGTAATACCTTGGTAGCTATCTGGTTTTTACAAAAGCATTTGAAAGGAATGAAGCCTGGTCCAATGCAATCACCCTTCTTTTCATAATCATAAAAAACAGAGTGATTACATCAAACCAGATAATATCCCTCACAAACCACTACTTATTTTCTTCTCTGAAGAGAGCATTCATTCATCTTCTTCTTCCTTTAAGCCCTAATATTGTTTCATCTAATTTTAATCTACAAATAGGCATAAAAAAAAGGAGACTCGGGTGTAGTGTAGAAATTTATTGAAAACCGTAAAGGACATATATTATTAAATATATACAGATATTTTTAAAAGTGACGGTTGAAATGACCTCCCAAAGTTTTAAATAAATTTATACACTTTTCAAATCCGGTAATTGTTGAAATAAAATATTCCCACTCCTCTTCTCTCACCCATTTTCGACTCTTAAATTTTTTTGTTCCTTTTTCATCACAAACCAGATATTCATGGAGGACTGCTTCATGTTAACTCCGATTAAACAAACGAAGCACAAAAGGTGTATAACTATGGAGGTTCCGGCAATGTCAAAGAAGTTTTCTAACCAAGAAGAGTTACCATTCCCAAAACTTATAAGGATATCAATGACCGATCCCTATGCAACTGATTCTTCAGGAGATGAAGATGACCACATTTTTAAACGGTGGCGTGTAAAGAAGTATGTTAATGAAATTAACATACAACCGTCAAGCAAAGCTACAATGATGCCTCTCAATGGCAATATGACGACAACCAGAAACAGCCCATCTGCTATAGATTCGAAACAGAAAGCTATGAAGAAGAAAAAAAGTCCAGAGGGTACTGTTAGGAAGTTCCGAGGAATACGAAAAAGACGTTGAGGTAGATGGGCAGCGAAGATTATGGATCCGGCTACACGCAAGTAGTTGTGGTTGGGAACATATGATATGCCGGAGGAAGCTGCCATGGTATATGATAATGCTGCCATTAAACTCCGTGGTGCTGGTGCTATTACAAATTTTGTTTTGCCAACGGTTTTGGAAAACCCACTGCCGACGAATGTTACATCAATGTCCGACCATCATCCCAACCGAAAGTCACTCAAGCTTCCACTTGCGGATGCACCACCTTTGGATTACCAATCATTTGATTCAATACAACTTGATGATGAAGTTGCATCTTTTAACATGCATCATGATTTCGGGTCTATAAACCCGAAACAATTTGATGATTTTGGTATAACCCCTATAGCTCCTGACTTCATTCCTGACACTGGATGTGGATCTCCCTCAACTTTAAAAATAGATAACTACCTCGAAGATATTTCAGATAGTACTTTAGATTTATGGTTTTCCTAAAATGGCTGGAACTTATTTTAGTTAGTTGTTGGAGCTGTTTAATTGAGTACTATTGTATTATTTTGTTAGTATTGTATTAATGCATATTTTTTATTAACATTTAGTCGTTTGCCTGATTAGTTTTATTTTGTTTTTCAAACAGTTGTAAATGATGTTTTTTTACAAAATATATATAGGTCACAAAAAGGGTTGACCCATATACAAAACTTAAGTGTAATGGGATTTATTCGCGTATTCATGTAAGCGTCATAAATGTTAAAGAGAAATCAGAATTGTAATTGTGGAAAAGGAGTTCAGATTTGTGATCAGATGTTTTTGCGATGTACCTTCTAACTCTACCATACAATTCTGACTCTACCTAAGGGAACATAAGTCCAGACTTTCATGTACATGATGCAAAATGATGCAAAAGTCTGGAAATAATGAATCCATATTTAGTGATACATAGACATATCAGAGATGTTTCCTCTATCCGAAACATCAATTATAGGAAAAGAATTCTAAATTACCATTGGAGAGAAGGAGTTAAGATTTATTCCCAGATTTCTAAGGCATGCTACCTTGTAAGGCTGGCATACAATTATGCACGTTGACAAAGACATACTCGTCCAGACTTGTATGTCCAGACTTATAAGCCTGAATACGATGGACCCAGACTTAGTTAGCCATAGAACATATCAGAGTTGTTTTTTTCGTTTAAAACATCAATTAAGCCATGAAAAAAGGAGAATAAACGTGTAAAGGGAGAAATGCCACTTAAGTAGACCCATTTGAACTGTAAGTGAAGCTGTGTGTGTGGAGTGACTCTCTGCATACAACACTTAAATGTTTTTAGGCCTTCTCATTAGCTCTGACTCCACAATCTGGTACATAACTCTGAAAAACGAACGTGCAAACAAAAACTGACAAGCAATTTCTTAATTTATGTTGTATTTAGACCTTTAATGTACGGTTTCCATAACCGCCTCATCTAGGTAATCATTTGCTTCTTATAAAATTATTGTTATAACATACAACTTCCATTTCCTACTACAGTAAAAAAAGCATTCTTTAACACAACTGTCTAACTAAGTCCATTTTCTCACGATTGTTCATTCTAATGTTTTATTATGTACTGACTTCATGTACTGTTTCTTGTTGAAGAATTAATTTTCTTGCAGATCTTTTAAAAAAGAAATTCGATGGATGCTAGAGAAAGGAGAAAATTTAGAAAGACCGTTTTGAATAGTAATAGACAGTCAGTGAAATCTACATCATCAAATGTTGAAGGTATCTGATTCAAAAGCATTTTGAATTCTATTTTGATTGAGACAAATATTACCTGTTCAGGAATTCTGTTGAAGACATTTTTTGACAATCATCCTTTCCTCTAACTTTTTACAAATAATATCTCAAATTATGATAGGCAATTAGAATCTTCATCTTAGAGGAATAATATTCCCTACCATAATGAGAATATGGATCCAAACACATGTCCACAATTTCAACATACAAACTTGGCACATTCTTCTTCATATGTGACTATCACAAATCCATTATCTGATAGTCCTAATGGTATGTGTAATCTCTTGTACACCTCATTTTTAAAGTAATGATTCAAACACATTTTCAATACTAACAAATGTCTTACATTACTTAAATTTGTATATTTTAAACAACAAGTGTTCATGTAAACAAACACTACTGGTTACGTTCTACCGCCAATTCATCCATGCCTTTATCGACAATAGATCAAGCTTCTTCTATGGTTCGGTTATTAGCAGGGCATCACAGATCACAAAGAAGAAATATAAATGTAGTTGATATACAAATCATTGATATTACATCAGATGAAGAACCGGACCATCCAGTAACAACTACAGACAAAATTGAAGGAATATCTAAAGGTAGTTATTGAATAATCAAATGTTTAATACTTACAGTTAGTTATTACATTCGAGTTTATTAAACAGAGTACTTGGATCACGGTGATGAAAGTATTATTTGTGAATGTTGTGATGCAAAACTATGGAAATATGAAGCTCATCGAGGGAAAAAATGCGTGATGAAAACAAGTTACTCCCTTTGTTGTCTTTATGGCAAAGTTCAGCTTCCAAAAGAGAAAGAGATGGGCACTTCTTATGTAAATCTATTTCATTGTGCGGACTCAAAAAGCAAATACTTTATGAAGAACATTCGTTGTTATAATTCAATGATCTCATTTACATCAATGGGTGGCAACATTGATAATTGAAATGTCCAAAATTCATACAAAATGATTATGATCTTCAAGAACTTTAAGAATGAGATGAATAGAGAGAGTAGATCACCAAATGTCTCTTGAATTGATTGAGAGAGAATTACAATGCTAAAACTCAGATTACAGAATTGCTAATGACTTGCTAATGACAATTACAAAGGAAACTACTATTTATACTAAGGAAGGAATAAAGCTACTCTATTACAAAACATGTAAAATATGGAGAACTTGAATACAACAATAACGCGCATACTCGAACCCAACAATACTTCCATTAATAGTGGAAATGCACCATACATATACAGGTTTAATGGTCAAAACTACCATAGGATGGGTAGTCTTCTACCACCAGATGGAAGAAAACCGAAATTCTCTCAACTGTACATATATGATACCGAAAATGAAGTTTCAAATAGACACANTAGGATGGGTAGTCTTCTACCACCAGATGGAAGAAAACCGAAATTCTCTCAACTGTACATATATGATACCGAAAATGAAGTTTCAAATAGACACARTTCATTTAGGTATACATTCATCCTTAWTGTAATATCTCTTAATAGATTTACTTGAATTACATTGTATGGTTATATTAATGGTCACTCTGATTTTATGTTTGTTATGATTTACTTAGTGAAAAACAAGAAGCCTCTGCATCAAATTCTGATTCCCTTGATATTAAGCTTATTCAATACTTAAAGAACATACTAGATGCAAAAAATGTGTTGGTGAAGTCTTATAGAATTGCAAGAGATTGTTTTGAATGCTACCCAGATGTCAAGCTAAAGTTACGGCTGAATGGAAAAAGAGAAAAGGATAGAAGAACATATAACCTTCCAACTGCTTCAGAGGTTGCAGCTTTAATTGTTGGAGATGATAGTGGTACAATTGAAAAGGGAGATATCATTGTGACAACATGAGACAGGTTATTTACAAGCAATAAGTGAATTACATCCTTCTTACCTTCCTCTTCAATATCCGTTGTTATTTCCATTTGGAGAAGATGGTTACAGAGTTGACATTCCTCATAGAGAGGTAACATCTTCAAGCAAAAGTAAAAGAAGAACTGTAACAATGAGGGAGTTCTTCGCCTTTAAACTTCAAGATAGAAGAAATATGTTTTCATTACTTCTCAATGCAAGGAGGCTTCTACAACAATTTATTGTTGATGGATACACAATGATTGAAAGTGAGAGGTTACATTATATACGTAAGCAGCAAAATGTCCTAAGGTGCGAGACATATGATACTCTATGCAATGTACAAGAACAAGGAGAGTGGGATGTTTCAAATATTGGAAAACGTATTATACTACCTTCTTTTTTCACCGGTGGTGCTCAGTACATGATGCAAAATTATTTGGATGCAATGTCCCTTTGTAAATGGTATGGATATTCTGACTTGTTTCTAACCATGACTTGCAATCCAAAATGGCCAGAAGTTAGAAGATTTGTTAAGGACATAGGCTTAAATCCAGAAGACAGGCCTGACATTCTTTGTCGTTTATTTAAGATCAAGCTTGATGCACTTATTAGAGAATTGAAAGAGAATGAGTTTTTTGGCAAAATTCAAGCAGGTATGTTCAATTTATGATAACAGTATCAACATATTTCTTCATACTTTTAGTCTTATCTTTATTAATTTAAATTGTAACTTTTTTGTAGTTGTTTATACAATTGAATTTCAAAAGCATGGCTTGCCTCACAGTCATATTTGTCTGTTTATGCACCGAGATTTCAAACTACCTACTGTTGAACAGATTTATCCTATCATCTCAGCTGAAATCCCAGACAAAAAACAGTGATCCAGACTTGTACTTACTTGTAAAAGAGTTCATGATGCATGGACTATGTGGTGAAGTAAACATTAATTGTCCATGCATGGTTGATAGAAAGTGTTAAAAAATACCCAAAGAATTTTTCTGAACACACTTCAGTTGATGTTAATGGCTATCCTGTATACCGCAGACGAGTTGATGGACGTTTTATTGAAAAATCAGGTGTTAAACTAGACAACATAAATGTCGTTCCATATAATAAACATATGTTGAAAAGATATCAACCCCACATTAATGTTGAGTGGTGCAATGAGGCATCTTCAATCAAGTATCTGTTTAAATACATCAACAAGGGTCGAGATAGGGCTACTGTTGCAATTGTAGAAAACAATGATGATGCGGTCACTGTTAATGCAGTTGATGAGATAAAACGGTATTATGATTGTAGATACCTTTCTGCATGTGAAGCTTCATGGCGTATTTTTGGATATGATGTTCATTACATGACTCCTTCTATTTTAAGACTTCCTTTTCATCTTCCAGGACAACAACAAGTAGTGTTTGGTGCTGAAGATAATATTGATAATGTGCTAAACAGACCATCTGTGGCATCCTCAATGTTCTTAGCTTGGATGCATTGTAATCAAATTTATCAAGAGGCAGGAGAACTCACTTACGTTGAATTTCCTACAAAGTTTGTGTGGAAATTGGACGAACGACGTTGGGATCGAAGGAAAAAAGGGTTCTCAATTGGATGGATTCATTTAGTTTCTCCTACTGTAGGAGAAGGGTATTACTTGCGAATTCTTCTGAATAAAGTCAAAAGTCCTAAATCATTAAAAAGACATTCGTACAATTAATGGAAAAACATTTCTGACTTTTAGAGATACATGTTATGCTCTTGGGCTTTTAGACGATGACAAGGAATATATTGAAGCCACTGAAGAGGCAAATTTAACTGCATCTGGTTTTTATCTTCACTTCTTATTTGCAACCATGCTGATTTCAAACAGTTTATCTAGACCTGAATTTGTTTGGGAAAAAAATGGCAATACTTAGCAGATGGGATTCTGTACAATCAACAAATTGTTTTACAGTCGCCAGGTATGTTAATTCTATATCTTAAGCATAGAGTTATACAACTATTATAAAAAACTATGGTTGTTATTAAATTGTATCTACTTTTAATTTCATGTAGTAATTGTGTACATTTATATTATTTTTAACAGATTTATCTCTTAATGATGAACAAGTGAAGAATCTAACTTTGTTCGAAATTGAAAAGATTTTGCTTCGTAACAATTCCACGTTGAAAGACTTCACTACACTGCCTTATCCTTATAATGACTCGCTTGAATCCTCAAACAACCGTTTGATTGCAGAAGAATTGGATTATAATCATCATAATTTACAAGATAAGTTTCACACACTTGTAACTGCTCTAACAAATGAGCAAAGAGGTGTGTATAATGAAATCATGACTGCGGTTGAAAAGAAAAAAGGTGGTGTATTTTTTGTTTATGGGCATGGCGGAACAGGTAAAACATTCCTATGGAAGACCTTGGCTGCATCAATAAGATCTAAAGGATAAATTGTTTTAAATGTTGCTTCCAGTGGTATTGCATATTTACTTCTTACCGGTGGCAGAACAGCACACTCTCGGTTTCACATCCCGTTCATTCTCAATGAAGATTCTCTTTGCCAAATGAAGCCAGACAGTGATGTTGCAAGCTTAATAAAGATAACTACTTTGATATTATGGGATGAGGCACCAATGGTTCAGAAACATGCATTTGAAGCATTAGATAGAAGTATGAATGATATTTTCAATGCTCAACGCAGTGGTGACTCAAATATGATTTTTAGGGGTAAGATAATTGTTTTTGGAGGAGATTTCAGACAGATTCTGCCGATTATTCCCAATGCAGGTAGACAAGACATTGTAAATGCATCATTAAGTTCATCTTACATTTGGGAAAAATACGAAGTCCTAAGGTTAACTAGAAACATGAGGCTAACTGCAAACAGTGAAAGTTCAGAAATTGAACAAACAAGGGATTTTGCAAAATGGATTTTGGATCTAGGAGAAGGAAAAGTTGGAGGTGATAATGATGGTGAAGCAGTTATTGAGATACCTCGTGATCTTCTCATTACCGATTGCATCAATCCTGTATTTGCATTAATCGAATTTGTCTATCCCTCAATTCTTGAAAACATCAACAACTCAGCTTATTTTCAAGAATGAGCAATACTTACCCCAAAAAATGAAGTAGTTCAAGAAATAAATGATTGTTTGTTGTCATTGTTTCCAGGAGAAAAAAAGGAGTACTTAAGTTCAGATATGTTATGTGAATCAAAGCACCTTCATGATGAGTTTGATAAAACTTTGTACTCTCCTGATGTTTTAAATGGTCTTATATTATCATGAATACCAAACCATAAGATTCTACTAAAAGTTGGTGTTCCTATCATGTTATGAGAAATATTGATTAGAAATCTGGACTATGTAATGGTACTAGACTGTGGGTGTTAACATTAGGAAATCGAGTAATAGAAACACATGTCATATCTGGAAGCAATATTGGAAGTCGTACATTCATTCCAAGAATGTCCTTAACACCTACAAACAAAAGGATACCATTCAAATTTCAAAGGAGACAGTTTCCAATTGCTGTATGTTTTGCCATGACCATTAATAAGAGCCAAGGACAATTATTATCAAAAGTTGGTTTATTTCTAAGACAATCGGTCTTCACACATGGTCAGTTATATGTTGCTTTATCCAGAGTCAAAAGCAAGCAAGGTTTGAAAGTACTAATTATGGATGATGATGGCATTATTTACAGTAAAACAACCAATGTTGTATACAAAGAAGTGTTTAGTAATATATGATACATTGTTCTTATTTATTTAATGGCTTACATATTTAACTTATATTTGTTCAATTTATATTGTGTTATAAATATTGCTTAACAACTTCATCTTATTAGTTCATATTATTATTAATTCTTAAGAGGCTTATTTTTCATTTATAGTCTGCATTATAATTATTCGACCATAGAGGATCTACATGTGCTATGTAAATTCTCTCACCCGGACTGCGTCCTTTATACAGAGCTTTAGAGAGGGACTGCGTACACTACGCAGAGTCTCTGACCAAACTTCCGTAATTCATACAGAGCTTTAGAGAGATACTGTAGAAACCATGCAGGACCTCTATGCATGATTTCGTGCTTCATGCAGAGCTACACAGCAGCTCTGCATCTACAATGCATAACCTCTGTGCACGGAAAATTTACACTTATAACCAGATTGGTCGTCTTGATTTAGAAGTCTTGCAATGCTGGATATTGTCCGTCGTAAACTTTGGAGGATTTCTTCGACCTTGTGTACGTCAAGCCTGATTCCGTCCTTCATACAGACCTTAACTGAGGTTCTGCACGTGCTTTGCGGTCGATGTGAACCAGACTACGTGTTTCATGCACAGCTGCACAGAGGTTCTGCATTTAAATCTTGAAAAATAGCTCTTTCTCTTCACGTAATGCGTCGATGATCTGTCTCTTACTCTGAAGATGACTTTCAGACTTGTACCTGTAAATAGTTTCCATCTTCATCTTTGCAAACTTTTTTACGCTTGTGTCCTTCAAGCTTGCCTCCGTCTTTCATGCAGAGTTTCATAGAGGTTTTGTACTTGTCTTGAGTAACAGTTCTATCTCTGTATGTACTACCCAAAACCTATGATTCTCTTTGCTTGTCTCATACAGAGGTATAAAAAGAATTTGCATGTACTACGCAGCGCTGCATACTGAATCTACATTGTTCGTCTCCATTTAGAAGTTTTTCTAATCATCGAAGGACAAACCGTTCTTTGTATATGTAACATTTAATTCTCGAGTCTTTGTTTAATTTTATAAATTACCTCCGATTTTTAATTGTTTATAAAATACATATCAGTTTCGCTTAATTTTTATCATTAACCCGTGTAATACACGGGCCCGAACCTAGTATGTAATATAATAGTAAGTATATATACATATATATAAGTGAAGATAATAAAATTATAATAATTTTATAAATAAAAAATATTATATAAATATTATACAATATCTTGTAAACTATACGTGAAGAGTATATATATATATATATATGAAATAACTTAATTAATATATATATATATATATATATTAAATAATAATGATAATTAAATACAATATATTATTAAATCGATTTGATGTTTATAAATTTTAGAGATGCATAATTTTCAAGCATTCAACACCCTATTAAGGGGTTGCCATTAACACTCCACTAGATTTAACCTAGGGGAGGTTAATGACACCTTTATCCATTGTCATTGACACCCCTAATATTATTTTAATTATGGGAGTGCTAATGGCACCTCCTAATAGGGAAAAGGCTAATGGCACCCTATAGGTTAATAATGGCACCCCTAAGTTAGCTTTAATTATGAATTTTTTTTTTTGTGTTTTTTTGTCTTTTTGTTATTATTACTTTTTGTTTATTATTATTTAAATTTTTTTTAATTAATATATATTATTCATTTTATTTTCTATTTT